CACCGTGTAATAAGAATAGATCATGTATTACCGTGTAACAAGAATAATAATATTAATATATCGTGTAATAATATTACCGTATTTAATCATTATTAATTTATTACCATGTAAGAAGAATGATAATAATATACTGTGTAATAAAATTACCGTACTTAGTCATTATTATCGTCTAATAATTATAATCTAAGAAGCTTTCAATTTAAAAATATTTCCATTTAGAGAACATGGCCAAACTTAATATTACCATATTTAATCATTATTAATTTATTACAGTGTGATTATGTTAAGAAAATAAGCTTTCAATTTAATTATGTTTCCATTTAGAGATTCGGTGCCAAATATTTTATAAAGAATTTTAAATATATAAGTTTATGCATTTAATTAGGAAGGCACAATTAAAAAATCAAAATAAAAAATAATAAAAGAAATTAAATATAAAGATATGTCAAAGTAATACATAGAAATGGTGGCACATATGTAAATATGTTAAGTGTTGAATATAGAAATAATAATTAAATCATAAATTACTTTGTAGCAAGAATAAATCATGTATTACCATGTAGAAAAAATAATAATACAAATATACCATGCAATAATATTAATGTATTTAACCATTATTAATTTATTGTCTTGAAAGAATAATAATAATAATATATCGTGTAATAATATTATCGTACTTAGTTATTATTATCGTGTAATAATTCTAACCAATAAGCTTTCAATTTAATAATGTTTCCATTTAGAGATTCAGGCCCAAATGTTTTATGGAGACATCTTTTTAAGAGGTGTGCCTTTAATACATGGAAACGTGTTGAATAATATATACCTTTATATGTTGAACAATCAATCATTGATTAATAACTTACCCGGAAAAACTTAGATGCATGGAAATAGAAAAATACTTTAATTTTTTTCATACTTTAAATGCAGTCATTCTCAATCATTAAAGAAGTCTTTAAATAAATAAATGTTTTAAAAGTTTAATATATAAAAAGTTTGATATATAAAAATTATACGAGTAATGTAGAAAATCATGAAGAAGTCTTTAAATAAATAAGTGTTTTAAAAGTTTGATATATAAAAATTACTACGAGTAATATAATTTATAAAGAAGTCTTTCGTTATTTGTAAAACAATTAATTTTTGTACCTTAAAATAATAAAATCTTTATTTTCTACTCCCTCCGTCTCAAAAGAAGTTCCCTTATTGATTTTTTGGAAAATTAAGGAAGGGATATTTGGTGTTGACTTTCCAAAAATACTCTTGATGTGATTGATAAAAGTAAGATGTGATAGATAGATTATAAGTAAAAAGATATGATGTGATAGGTAAGGTATGAAAAAATATGGGATAAAAGTAATTTTTTAATAGAAAAATGAAGGAGTTTGTGGGACAAAGAAAAAATGAAAGGGTGAGATTTTTTCAGGGACGAAGGGAGTATTAGATAAAAAATTACTCGGGGTATATCCTTCAAAAATTATCTTAATTTAGTAATATAAGTATGATCCGTGCAACGCACGGGAGTGATGCTAGTTTCGTATTTAAATTATACGGATGCCAATATTTTCTTGAAGAAGATGACTCCGTCGGTTTTGGTTTTAATATAACCGACCGTTAATTTTTTGCTTTCATTGGTTTGGGTTTTCGGTCTCAAAACTGATGTTGACCCACGTGGCTCCGACGTGCGTCCCTAATGGAACCTACAAAACCTTTATAAAGAATCCAACGGTTCATTTTGGGAGGAAGCGCGTGCCGCTCCGACTCCCCTCTCGTGCCAGCACGTGCATCCCACATGCTCGTCGCCACGTAGGCAATACCCAATAATAAAGTCCCACGTGACACACTTTGTGAATTCCCACCATTATCTTCCTAGAGAGAGAAAATTATGGACGCTTACGCTACGGCGGGATGTTGCCGGCAATCACCGTGCGCCGGAGTTGCGGGGACATATCCCCGGTCACCTAGCCAGCCGAAGATTCCCTTGTCCGTGCGGTGCAACCCGGTGGTTTCGCTTTTCGCCGACGAGGGCCACTTGTGGTACTATTCCGCCGGTGGAAGGAGGATCAGATGCGGGGTGAAATCGGAGACTCTCCGGAGTGATGTCAAGGTCAAAGACAAGGAGACGAGTAAATTGATGAAGAAGAGGTTGAAGTTGCTCAAGAATCTGTCCAGGGACTTGTTCACGATGACCCAGATTGGATTCGGGTTCGATTGTGCAGACGGGTGCGATCTGCCCGATCGAGAACGAGAGAAGGCTATTTCGGTAATTTCAACTTAGCTATGCTTCGTTCGTTTATCTTCCGATGATTATATGTATAGGCTTGGGAACGAAATCCATGGTAATTTTTTTTCTAAATGTTACGAAGCCAAAATTTCATTTTTTTCTATGATTTATGAAATTCAAATATCTATTTACTATGATCATATCATCAAAGAAAACAAATTCCTACTCTACATTAAATTATTTCCATTCAAGTATTATTGCTGTATATGAATTCATGTATTATTAAATAATGAAATTTATTATAGTTTTAAAATTTATTTCAAAAGGGTATAGATGATTGACATGTATGTAGGGAATGAAGATACAGGTTGAAACCTTGGAAGGAGTATTACACATAATATAATCTTGCTGCAAATTCAAACAAGCCTTAATGGTTCTCGGTTGGTTTTCAATTTCTTGCAGGGAGCTGCAGAGGCATTGCTGGCACAACTCCAAGAACTGAAAACGAAGGTCAAAGATGAAAAGTGCCGGGATTCGTCGAGCTCTTCTTCATCAGAATCGAGCGACAGCGATTGCAAGGGATCAATCAATATGAACAGAACAAAGCATAAACCTGGTCTGCTTCCAGATTTGCAGCCGCTGTTCAATCAAGAATCCCTCTACTCCCTATCAAAACCTGCGATTGATGAAGGCACGATTTCATTCAAGAATCCAGATTCACAGCCACTGTTCAATCAAGAATCTGTTTACTCTCTATCAAAACCCGTGATTGATGAAAGCACAGGTCCAGAATTGGGAATTCAAGCCCGGAAAATCGAGGTCTGCATGGGTGGAAAGTGCAAGAAATCTGGGGCTCAAGCTATACTGGAAGAACTGCAGAGTGCAGTGGGCATAGAAGGTGCTGTTTGTGGAAGCAAGTGCATGGGGAAATGTAAAGTCGGTCCTAATGTGAGGCTTTCGAGTGCAACGGATGATCTGTGTATCGGCGTAGGGGTGCAGGATGTCAGTTTAATCGCCTCTGGTTTCTTGCGCGGCAAGGGAAAGGAACTTGTTGCATCTTGATCTTCAGTAGGTTTCATCTTGTATCTGCAGATTTAGTTGTTTAGTATCATATTGTATTTATATCAGGTTTTGCATTTATCTCTGAGTTTTGTGGATATGATAAACATCAATCATCAATGTGCAGATTTTCTTGTTGCTTTTCTTATGTTTGGCATCCATGAGTTCTGTTCTTCTGTGACAACAATATGCAAGAAATATACTTGGTCCTCTTCTTTTTGAGAACTTCACTCTCTCACACTGATACCCTTTTCTTTGTTTATGCTTGTACCTGGTGGTGCTCGGGATTTCATTTCAGGGTAAATTACTCAAATCGGAGTAAAACAAAGTAGTTTTGCCTAAATACGACCAATCCTACTTGCACTAACGTTTGGTATAGGTGACAATCGGGTCAACCGGATTGTTTTTGGGTTGGATTTTTTCGGTTCGGATATCTTTTGGATATATGTTATAATCGGTTCGTTTCGGTTTAATTTCGGTTCGAATTTGATTCGGTTCTATACATTTTTTCGGTTTGGTTCGGTTTGAGTCGGTTCAGATACGGTTTGGTTATAAATCGGTTTGGTTAGATTTTGGTTTGGATACAATTTGAATCAGATATATTTCGGTTTTGGATATAATTCGGTTCGGATATATTTCAATTTCGGATCAAATATATCTTGGATATATATTATTTTATAATAAAAACTTAATAATAAATGTTTCTTTTTATGTTTTATCACATTTATCAATCTATTATCAATTCAATACATCATATTATTTTATATATTTTTTCTAATTATATTATCTCTACCCTAAATAATATTCCCTTTTTGATTTTTTAGTCATATTTTACAAATTTGGACTACAAATTATGAAAAAATGTATATTTATTATGATATAAATTTAATATAATTAAATTGATCATAAAATTTAGTTTTAATATATCAAAATTTTCTCACATCTACTAATGTATTTATGAAAAGATAAAAGATAAATTGAAATAGTGTCATGTTCCATTTGAATATAATTTGATAAAAATTGAGTATAATTGGGTGAAATTAAATGAATTTTATTCAATTGAGTGCAAAATTTATAAATTACATGAGTGCATTTGGTTGAAATTAGATAAAATCAAATTTAATAGAGTCAAATATAATTAAATTTACACCTAAATGTAATGATGAAGATCAAATTTGAAAATGATAACACTAAATGCTGTCGCTAGAAAGTCTTTATAAAATGCACTAACATTTGATGTTATTGACTAATATTCAGTGAATTGGTTTGAAACTAATCGAGAAGAATTTATTGTAGTTGGATTAGATTAGGATAAAATCTAGTTATTCCGTACAATTCATCATATAATCCTTTCTGTCCCAAAAAGAATATCACTTCACTATTTAAAAATTAAGTAAATTTTATTTGTTTGTGCGTTATCAGTTATTATTTGATAAAATAAACTATTATTCTTATAATATCTTAATTTGTAAAAATTTTGACGTATTTTTTAAAATATGTAGACATTTTTTATTTCTATACCAATCTTTCAATAAAATAAATTTAAAAAACTTAAAATTTTTGCTTTGTTTTGCGTTATGTAGCATTCTTTCTAAGATGGAGAGAGTATTTTCTTCAAAATAAGATTGTCTTAGTTAGATTTTGTAACTTAAGACTGAAATTAATACTGTATGTTTCATATAATAACTAATCAAAGACTTAATTTTTTATCAATTTTCTTATGCTCAAAATTTCCCTCATTCCTTTTCACTTTTCCTGCTTAATTTTATCAATTTTCTTATGCCACCATTCATCTCATTTCTCAATTTCCATTCACCTTCAACTCTTAAACCTAATTTTTTTTCAATTGATGTTTTATTCCCATTAATTTTGTTAATAACAAAATAGTGGGCTCACTTTATTCATCCAAAATTTTATATGTATAACTTATCTTCAATCTTTAAATATAATAAATTTAAGGCATGAAATTTTGTAATTTTTTGTCAAGATGACAATCTATTTTATGAGGGAATGAACAAGTAATGTAAGTAGTTCAAATGGTAAAAATTTAAAAAATATAAAACGCTTATTGAAAGGCAAACAAGTTTCCAAATTTATCGGTTTTAGTTCTAATCGGATTCAGATATTATCGGTTTCAGATCTAATCGGTTTTGGGTTTTATCGGTTTTGAGTATTATCGGTTTCGGATCTGATCGGTTTCAGGTTTAATCGGTTCAGATATTATCAATTTCGGATCTAATCGCTTTTGAATTTAAATCGGATATGAATTATTTAGCTCGGTTTCGGTTCGATTGAGATCATTTCGGATTTTCGATTATAGATCGGATCTTCATTATCATTTCGGTTTCGAATATTTCGATTTGGGTAATCAGTTCCGATTCTGTTTTGCCAGACCTTGACATCCATTTTATACTCTACTAGTCATCCCATACCACATCCTAACTTTATGGGAATCACAAACCCAAAAGGAAGGAATTCTAGTTGTAATTGAAATTGGTGGCATTCCTATATAGAGTCGGACTTGCTTTCTAAGTTGAGATTTCATTTTCTAGCTTTATTCTTCTTTTTGTGAAAAATAAGGTTAGAGGTTTTCAAATTAAATATTACGGAGTGCATTCCTAATTTTGGTTAATTATTGATCATTACGAAGTAAAACCTTACAAGTTTTTATATTATTATTTTATTTACAAATTGATACATCAATAAAAAATAAAAATTATATATTAAAAAACTACGTCAAAAGTTCTACAAAACAAAAAAGTTAAAAAAACATTTTATTTTATCAAATAATCAATTAAAATATACAAATATATCAAAGTTTTAGATAGGTGATTTTTGTTAATCAAAATTGGAATGAAGAGTATTAAGTATAGTATAAACAATGTCCATTCAAATTGGACATTAATTATGAGTATATCAGTGGACATTAATTGCTATGATGTCCCACAAATATATATGGGCATTAAAGCAATGCAGTTCATGGAACATTATTTGGAATAAAAATGCTAGGGGCACACCTTTTTTTAATTGCTATGATGTCCCACAAATATATATGTCCCACTCATTTTTAATTAATTTTTATTTATTTATTTTTTTGATTTTCTTGCCCAATTATGTGGACAAGGAGGGGGGGTGTACAAATAGGGTACACTTTTGGTGTACCCGTAGCATTGCTCTATTTGGGAAGAAAGTGAGGACATTATTAGAAATAATAGAGAACATTAGATATCAGTATATGAAAATTCTACATTAAGAAAAGAGAGTTTTAGTGTATGAAATATAGTAAATAATGTCTGATGGTGTAAATTATCGACCGGTATATCATTTTTAGCCGGGTAAAAACGATAAACTAGTCTAAAAAATACACCAAAATATAAACATAGGAATTTTGACGTGGAAACCAAATCGGGAGATAACCACAGATCTTNATATTGGGGGTTGTACACGGTATATTATTTAGGCTTAGAAGCCATTAATGGTGGAGCTACAAGTTCTTGAAGAAGAAAATATACCACAATCTAGAGAGAAATAATATATGACAAGGGAGAGAGAGGAGAGAGGCCTCCCTTAACAATTAGGGCAACCCTTTTTTATAAGGGAAGGAGGAAAGAATATTCAGAGAATTTTCTCTTATTATTCCATTTTATTAAACTGGTCCAGTTTGATTATTCTTCGTAAATAATTGAAAAATGTGGGCCGAGCCACGTATTATTTCCCATCAATGTCCATTCAAATTCGACATAAATTGAAAGTAGATCAGTGGACATTTAATTACCACAATCTCTCCAAAATGAATATATGGACATTAAAGAAATATACTTTTGAGAACATTAAGGGAGGAGAGTTTGGGGGACATTATTACAAGTAATAAACAACATTTGGACATTAAGAAAAGAGAGTTTTAGTGTTATTTAGGAAATGTTTCCTTCTTTTTTCTTCACTACTGGACATTAAATATCATAGACATTATATTTTTCAAGGACATTATTTATCTTTTATTTTTTGTTTTTTCACAAATCCAAAGACAATGAACATTCAATGTTGGGCAATGTGGGAGCGACAAAGGCGGCTGGCATTGAGGCTGGGTTGTATCAACGAGAGGGGGGTAGGGCAGTGGGAACTGAGTATCTTAAAGGCATTCATTAAGATAACATGATGATGAGGATTATGATGATAATAACAATAGTAATAGTAATTGTAATAATAATAATAATAATAATTTATAACAAAAAGAATTTAAAATAATTTTTTTAAAAGTTTTTTTAGGTTTTCCAATTTTTTTGAAGTTTTTCCAGTTTCTTCCATTTTTTTCTGTTTCTTCCAGTTTTTTCTAGTTCCTTCTAGTTTTTCTAGTTTCTTCCAGTTTCTTCTAATTTCTTTCTGTTTTTCCAGTTTCTTTGAACATCCAACTTTTTTTCCAAGAGATTTCAAGTGGTTAAAAAAATGAATTGAAGAGAAGGGTTCACTTTATTCAGACTGCCTCACCTTTTTTGGTATTCCCCCTCCTTATCTGCGGATCTCTTCCGGGTGGATTACACCATTGTTGTGATGGACTCTTTTTAGGCGAGAGAGAGATGGATCCCATCCATTCTCCAAGTTGAAAATTGTGAAGCCGGACGGCCGGTACCGAAAGAGATCAGTATTGGGCTAGCTAGGATGGGAACCCTAACTCTGTCAATGGACAAATATCTATTCCGGCGACAACTGCAGACGATGAGGTAACAATCTTTTCTTCTTTCTATTTCAAATTATGTATATTTAGATAATGCTTATAAGATTTTTGGTACTTGGACTTTCCAAATTTTAAAACTCTAGGTTTGGCCATGGTGGAAGACGACCAAGATGAAGACATGGGACAACTCAGACGGAAACAAATTTTCACCTTTGCTAGATTTTACATCAATGGATGGTTTGATGTTTTCTTCATTGTCTTATGCTACGAGTTGTGATAGGCCATAAAAGATTGCATTGCGGAGAGAAATCAGGTATGAATCTCTAACTCATTAATTTGAATCTCAAACATATATTTCAATTAGAATTTATGCAAACCACTACTCTCTATTTTCTATGCATGTGTTTGTTGTTTTCTAAGCTTTTAAAAATATTAATGAAAAAGATTTTTTTTGATCAAATTACTACTTCCATCTAAAACCCTTATAATTTAATTTTGAAGGAGAACATATTGTAGTTGTTGATGCTGTCCAGGATGAAG